ACCAAACTAATTTTAGAACTGGACTCTTGTTTCAAATTCCTCCCCTCTGTCTGTGCAATAAAATATTCAACAAGGTACCTACAGACACCATCAGGTCAAACTACCCCATACTGTCGATTTTTTCCTTTGGATTTTCGACTTTATATATCAACAGTATAAAGTTGAAAGTCGAATGAATGTGTTGACCTGCAGTAACTTATTTCACAATAGCTCTTAATAACATAGAAATAGAGTTCCTAATTACCTTTTCGTTTATGGGGTAGTTTGCAAAAAAGGAATCGATATCCTGTGCAATCAATGTTCGGTCGTTGACATTTGATACTAAGACAGGAATATGGGATTAGCGGTGTCCCGTTTTAGGAAATTGTTTTTAAAAAGAACGATTTGAATCTTTGTTTGTTTTTCTATAGTGGGTACTTGGGTAGGTACCGAAACAACTGAACCATTGGAACTTACGTTTTTTGGAAGCAATAACATCTTGTATTTTAATTACTATGATTTTCGACTTACTCACGTAATTATTTGACGAGGAACTCGATTAGGTTCAAGCCATGCTAGTATAGTATACAGGTATATATATACCTACTTATAGTTCTGTCTGTACAAATTCTTTGTAAAATGACAGAGATAGCACGATATTTAAGTGCAACGTAAAAGTGCCTTTGATAGCCTTTCAGTATTTGGGCGTTAGTATGGTAATAGGGATGATGACAAAATCAAAAATATAATTAGTCCGTCAGTTAGGTAATGAAAAAATATTAGACACGTATTTTTTATTTTCTCGTAGCTTTGTAATTTTAGAGTATCGTACTCAAAAGTGACGTCATGCGATATTTCAAATCAATATATCATCGAAACTATTCGTTGCCGTAAGAAAATAAAAAATACCTGTCTAATATTTTAAAATAATCTACCAGACGGACATTAAAATAAAAATTAATCATCTACCCTATGGTAAGAAAAACCGAGTAGTTCTTAGAAACGAAAAAGGAAGAAAGCTAAAAACAAAAATGAATTTATTAAAACCATAACCGTTCTTGGCAATCGATTAAAAATAAGTAATTCGAATTTTAAAACATGTTATTCTTACTCGGTTATTGCGTAGACGAAATTTCTTCAACAGATTATCAACTTTAATAGCAAAACAATAAGGATGAAAATGAATTAGAATAGGTTACCACCATGTGCGATCTGTGTACCTGCGTAAATATTTATTTCGATTTCTTCCGTTAAAATGGATAACACAATTGTTATTGTAAAAATAACCTTGATCGGTATCATTATAAACATGTTTTTCACTTTCAAAGCGAGCTAAATTCGCAAATTTTGATAAAATTAAACGAATACGTAATAATCTTATCTTCAACTATTATTATAGCAACTTTGCTTGTGTCGAAGCATAGTATAAAGAACATATATTTATAATGTGGTCGAACTCAGAAGATTTTTAGGTAGTATGTATGTCCTGTTCATGTACAAATATTGAGATAAAAGTTACTCCTTGAAAAGTAAGATTTTCAAATTGCGAAGTAATTTTTCAATTGAATTCAGTAGTTTCGAAACTTATTCGATGCACATAAAAAATCTTTATTTTCTACATTTTATGACCTAATTTATCTTTTATAAATAATATAATTCATTGCCTAGATTTTGTTTAGGCCGTTGACTTTTAAACCGTAGTAAATACATACAGAAATGAAATAATAAAGGTTTTTTTATTTAGGCTGTGATTGGTCAATATTATTTTTTATTGGATGACAGTTCTTGTGAACGGGGATTTGATTGGTTGACTTGTGTACCGTGGTCTTTGTATTATGTATGTGATATTACCTTACGAAATGAAATCATGAAAATCTGAGCAGCCATTTTATACTTATTAAATAGTGTATGCCTAATGGGCAGCTTTTTGCGCTACTATAATAATAATTTTAAGACCCTCTTGTATCACCAAAAAGCACACGAATAAATACTTTGACTTTGACTTTGCCATTCCGTAGCTTGATCTCCTTAGATGACTTTTACCCAAAAATTTTGGTCCTAAATTCCAAAGGAATTCCAATACTGATGGAGTGCTTACTGTAACAATTTCCAAATGTCTATCATACAATTCATACATGGTAAACCAATAAGGAAGAATGAATTTCACGCGCATTTCCAGCAAAGAAACAACCCTGTACGTTGAACTTGATAAAGTAATAATTATCAATAATCAAAAGTACACATGATACGGTTTGTTGACCCCGTTCCGTATCAATATACCTAATATTATAATTTGTTATCAAAATTACTTGATATTGAATTATTCATGGCTTAAGTTTGTAAATAGTTAATCCGAAGCTGCGGAATACTTAACGGTTTACCGAGGCTCCGGCTCGAAGGAGTAAGAACAGAGTGCTTTTTAGTCAGTCAGTAAGAGTCTGACATTCTCTTGCCTTACCCAAGGCGGGAGGAGTCATTGGATGATTTTCCGCCCCTCAAAGATAAAAAATATTTGTAAAATAATGTAGGTACGTAGAACATAACATTTATTCACTAAAGGGAAATACCTGTTCTTATTACGGGATTGCCCCTTTAGATAAGGATATAAAAGTGCTTTGAGTTAATTTGGGGACGGAATAGATTTTTAGGTTGCATAGTCATGTTGGCGTAGCTTAAGAACATGAAGTTCAGGTTCTATGACAAATAAGAGCACCAGGACGATAATTGACGTAACTTATGTCGTAATTTCCTATTAAATAAAATAAAACCTTAAGGAATTGGACTAGATCTGGCGAATTAAAACTAAGAACACGAAAGAAACTTACATTAATAATATAAAATATTTCTTCTTTTATAAATAAATCGTGTTGTTTTTCAATAGTAAGTATCCATATTATTATCGTGGTACAATTTATCAATACAGGAATACTGTAAACTTTCCACGGCAACTGTCTATCGCTGTGTCCGTAATCGACACACGTGTGAGAAACGTGTTTTATTATCTGTGTCTTAACATAAACATGATGTACCGTGTGTATGAATGCTAACGTCGTAAGGGTTGTTTAAAAGAATCTGAGTTTTCGCAGCTCTACACATGAATATGTTCAGTGGTGCCCAACGCACTTCTGTTATTTCTGGTCTTGCAGCTGACTTCACTGACGCTTAATAATACAGCCTTTTTTATGGCATAAGCCGGTGTACGAGCAGACGGATCACCTGATAGTAAGCAATCCGCGTCGCCCATAGACACCTGGAACACCAGAGGCGTTACAAGTGCGTTACCGGCCTTTTGGGGATTAGGAGTTTGAGGATCGTTGGGGATTCAGGAATTGGGGAGATTGGGGAAGGGGAAGGTAATTGGGCCTCCGGTTGCTAAATATTGCTAAATTGTATATTGTTTAACTTAGATAACCATTGTATATATATGTGAGAGCCCTGTAACTAACTTATAAATTAGACTAGTAGAATGCATTTGTGTCAGCTTGGAGTTGTCATGCTCAGTCAAAGGTCTTATTGGCGGTGGCACGTGCAGTGGATCGCTTGATTCCCTACAATATGGTTGAGTTGAGCGGTGCTGGTGTACGTGCCATGTTCATGAACGGGCGCCGTCAACTGGGACTGGTCAGCTCCAGACTGTATTATTTATTGTCCTTAAGGTTATTTTCTTTTTCGATCTCATTGACTGGATTTTAGTGTTACATTGTTCTCGCACAATCCAAACAACAGAACTATGTAACTAGAGAATTGTATTGTGAATCTGACTAAAAAAAAGTCACCTAAGGAGTTTCTTGCTCGTTCTTCTCCGTAGGAATCTACACCTTAAAATGAGCAAATAGCTTCACTTTTAATTTTTTGTTGACGTTCAAAAGTGCCTTACTAATCTAATTGAAATAAATGATTTTGACTTTGACTTTGATTTTAACTTGACTTTGTTGCTACCATCAGTAGCACAAAGAAAATTTTTCTGAAAAATGTCCTATACGTCATATACCACCGTAAGCGCGGGCCTGCGGACGGCGAACGGGGTGGTTTTTTTAGTCAGTAAGAGTCTGACACTCCCTCCTCCAGCCTCACCAGACGGGAGTAGTCATTCGATGGTTTTCCCCCCTAAAAAATACGTCATATATCTACGTTTTAAAATTGTTTATTCGATTTCGTTTCTTTGACAATATTTCTGATGTTAAAAAGTTAGCATGCGAAATCAGGAAAATTACCATGGACAACTTTCAACAATATTGCATTTTTTGACGATGCACTTGAATATGTAAGGCCTAGTTGAAGGATCTAATGCAAGTGGCATGCTTCCTCAATCTAGGCATTACGAGTGCCACTTCATTCCTATAATCTACTACAAGGTCTTCCAAGTTTTACTGGTTGTAGGATTTAGAAATCGACGATCTCAATGACACATGTATATTCACAAACACATACACACACATTTAGTTTGTTATGCCTACCTAATAAATTTGCCAATGTTTTCCTTCATACAAACCTTGTCTTGGCAATAAAACACTACAAAAAAGAAAATATTTAGTGAAAAGTGAGTGTTACAATGTACAGTGGCATTAAGTGCCGTAATGTGCACCTCTGCCTACCCCTTAGGGGATAAAAGGCGTGATGTTATGTTATGTTAAAAAAAAAAATATTTAGTGCACTCGAAAAACTGCATCAAAACGGGTTCAGCAGTTTTTGAGCTTATCACATACCTACATAGAATGAGAATAACGCTGCGCGTTGGGTACTGTATTTTATAAGTACAATGTGTATGGTTTATTTATATAGATTACTAGCTTCTGCCCGCGACTTCGTACGCGCAATCCCGATATTTCCCGTTCCCGTTCTTGATTTTCGGTAAAAAGTAAAAAAAAAGAATTGGGCAAAAAGTATCCTATGTCCGTCTCCTGGTTCTAAGCTATCTCCCCACCAATTTTCATCCAAATCAATTTAGCCATTCTTGAGTTATAAATAGTGTAACTAACACGACTTTCTTTTATATATATAGATTATGTTTTTTGTTACAGGGATGCATTTCTCCCAGTCAGTGGCCATCATTCAAAGTCAAGTGGGCACAATAAGAGGAGTACAAGTACTTTATAGTGATCAGGTAAGTTGATACAAATACTTACTTCTTCTGTAGTAGAATGATGATGTAAGCTCCATAAAAATGCCTCAAAATTCTATCTCTAGAAGCTAAATCTACCGTTATAATAAGATTAGTAGAAATATAAATAAACTTATCTTTAAAAATATAAAATTTAATTTTTTTTTGTGAAACCAATGCAAAATATGGAGTGAAAAGTATTAGACCCGTAAACTAATGAAGGTTTATAATAATGAGATCCAAGAATGTTAATTTAAATTGAAGGAGTTTTAAGTGATACGTGTTTATTGTTTCTCATGTAAGCATTGTTATTTTATTAGAGACGAAGGAGTATTTGTGTACACAGGACACACACATTTTATAAAAATAAAAATATGCTTTCGTCTCGTTCAGAGTTCATGTGCCTGAGATGCATCGGGCTTCATTGTTGCATGGATTATTAAATTACAAGAGGTGTAGTGATAGACCAATGTGGCGGGAAAAGATATGTTTTTTCAAACATAGAACGCTCAAATGTCAAACTACATCCACAGATTATAATAAAAGACGTGGAGAATTAAAACCTTTTTAAATAGTCTTGCCAGCCAGTAACATAGTTTTGCTAATTTTCAAGGAGCGTTGTCAAATTTGTTTTAGCCAGCTAATCTATGCTTGCATTTTGATAAAGTTATCTACTAGATAAATGGTTATCTAATAGTTACTAGGCAAATTTTCTGATCGCTGTACAAACTTTTATGATTAAAAAATTCTATGTAGTTTTAGTAATATTATCCATTTTTACCAACCTTACCTTAAAATTAAGTTTTCTAAAGTTGATTCATAAAAACCTTCAGAATATTTCACTTCGTTTCTTGTTGTTTCAAGGTTTAGAGTATAATATGGCTACTCAAGTAACTAATTGCATTTTTCTTCCTGCCCCGATTCTAAGTTAAGTTGTATTGTTGCATTGCTAATTTCATTTCTCTTTAGAGGTCTTAGTATGAGTTTCTTTTACGAGACCGCGTTCGGCGCTCTGATTGGTTGGTTCATTGGACCAGGCCAACCAGAGCGACAAAGGCGGTCTTATTTCGATCTCTTTAAACGTAAAACAAACTATTACTAAACCCTGAAGAGAAGAAGTCATAGTATCACGAGTTGCTTCATTATAGACATTAGACATATGCTAAACAAAATACTATAATGAATTATAATAGGTATTTCCATTTGCTAAAACGTCGAGTGGTTAAAAAAGTGGTTGAAAACTTATACATATATTTTTTTTAATTTACTAATTCTTTTTCTTTGTTTTCAGAATCCATTGTCAGTAGACCTAGTAATAAATATGCCGCAAGATGGCATCCGGTTAATATTCGATCCGGTTGCCCAGCGACTTAGGGTTATAGAAATCTACAATATGAAATTAGTTAAGCTTAGGTATAGGTAAGTGTCGCATTATTTAATATTTTTTAGTATAAGTAAGTGTTACATTAATTAATCAATTGTTAAACGGTTTTATTTGGCTGGCTCCGTTTGTTTGGGTCAAAAGTTATTAGAATTTCAACCCCGGCCCGACGACAGAGGCCTTTTTTTTAAGGGGGGAAAATCATCGAATGACTGCTCCCGCCTGGGTGAGGCGGGAGGGAGTGTCAGACTCTTACTGACTAAACACCACCCCGTTCCTTCTCCTGCACGTCGAGCCGGAGCCCCGGTTACCCGTTAGGTTCTCCGCGACTCCGAATCGGCATCGGCCCTATTGGGCCCCATCTGTGGTGGTCTGATGGCTCTTTGAGGCGCGCGCGGAACGCGACGCACCGTACGCTCGGGACAGAGGCCTTCGTACGAGTTTGTTTTACGTTTAAAGTAATTGTAACGAGTACGCGTTCGGCACTCTGATTGGTTGGTTAATTGGCGCCGACCAATCAGTCCAGGGACTCACAATGTCACTGAAAACAAGTATATATTGCATAATAATATGTCCTTATACCTTCGGAAGCATTAATATGGCATTCAAGACAATCCTTAGATATAAGTGTCTTAGTCCTTAGTCTAGACTGGCGATGTATGCGACGCTATCATTGTGTTCCTAACGCGATCTGAATAATAATTAATTCGATGCCACAGTAACTGGACTAGGTAAATGTACTTAGAACCTATGTTTATTAAGTTTATTTTATCTCGTTTTCATTGAATATAGTGTAGAATTAGAATAAAATACTAATAATTATTGTTGTACGGATATATGAGAGAATTTCATTGTATTCTCTGTTTTTTATGGGTTAGGGCGGTAAACGAGCAGACGGATCGCCTGATGGTAAGCAATCGGCGCTGCCGAAGGATAAGTTGCAACACAGGAGGACTTACATTGGGGCTACCGTAGTGGCGCGCAAATATAGCCACAGATTTTTTGTCCAATCACCGCAGCTGTCAAATATTCAACGTCCAATGGTGTAACACTAGCTAAATCCCTATTGGACGAAAAAGAGAACGAGAAACAAAACAGAATAGCGCCATCTGCTGAGCAAAAATACAGTAGCCTATTGTGTTGCAGTCTTTTTGGGGGTATAGAGATGGGGGATGGGGGTGAGATTGGGCCTCCAGTAACCTCACTCGTGCAAGCAAGCGTGGGGATTAATGCTCAAACCTTCTCCGTGTGAGAAGAGGCTTTGTTCAGCAGTGGGCTGCATATGTCAGAATACTGAAACGTTACTAAATTTTAAGTGGTGCTTAAGTATAGTTCTATCTCTACAAATTCTTTGTAACTGACAGAGATGGCACGATTATTGAGCACGACTTAAAATTAAGTAATGTTTCAGTATTCCGGCAGTAGGCTGTTGATGATGATGAAGCGAAACAGTGGTTGTTTCACGCCGGTTTCTGCTCGGCCGTGGTATCACTCCAGTCGAGTCGACCTATTCTTGCCGACGCATCTTAAAGCTCTCATGTTTAAACATCTAATATGTGCACTTCTGTCTACCCATTCGTGTTGTAGTTTATAGGTATAGTTTGTATATCATAGTGGCGACCTAATGACATTATAATGCGACTGTCCACGACTGTTGCTATGTTATATCACTAGTCAATGTCAGATTAAAGTTACTACTTGAATAGTACAATCTGTACATGTCTTGAATCTTTTGTGTCATACAATTTTTAGATTGTGATGATGCATACCTTCAGTACCGTCTTTACCATAATGGCACTAGGGGCCCGAGCCCATGGCCCCCATCCTCTGGGGACCCTGACCCGTTACACGTTGTAATATTTAATAATAATTAATTTTGACATCTTTAATATGAATTGTAATTACTATACATTGAATTTGTACGCACCTAAGGGCAAAACATGTATTGGACACTGATTTTACACAATTAAGATCTTGCATGCTTTTGTATGAATGACACATGTTTATGCAAATAAATTATCTTTATCTTTAACATAACATAACATCACGCCTTTTACCCACGAAGGGGTAGGCAGGGGTGCACATTACAGCACTTAATGCCACTGTACAATGTAACACCTACTTTTTACTCTTTATGTTATGAGTCCCAAGTAATAGGGGGTGAGCCTATTGCCATATACCGGGCACAATTCCAGACTCCGTGCTACCACTAAGAATTTTTAAAAACCCAGTAGTATCTAAGATAACCAAAATATTTTTTTTTTTTTCAGTGGCATGTGCTTCAACTCGCCCGAGATCTCCCCCTCCATAGAGCAGGTGGAGCACTGCTTCGGGGCGACACACCCCGGTCTGTATGACTCCCAGCGACATCTGTTCGCGCTCAACTTCAGAGGACTCTCCTTTTATTTCCCAGTCGATAGCAAATTTGAGGTAAGTATCTATAACGAACTGTTATATTTGAATATTTGTTTTTCTGCTTGCTTGTTTGTTATGAATTGCTTAAATAACTACCACTATTTTGATCTTTTGAGCATAAAGCATGGCATAAACCAAGCTACTTGAAATATTGGGAATTTCAACTTATTACTCTGTGAGAGAATCGAAAATCGAATGAAGTAATTTTATAGTTATAAGGTAGCCGGGTTTATAATTTGCAATGCTAAATAGTAGGAAATTAGACCTTAAAGTTATTTTTACTATTAAGCTATTGAATTGTAACCGATTGAATCGTCTTTCAGAAAATGATAGTGGTGAGTGAAAATATACCGTATTATAATGTGCTTAGAACTATATTAACCATTACAAATACTTCTTTTTTATGCATACATGGATGGACAAACTCTCTTCAATCGGAGAACAAAACTAGGACCTCGTTTTCATTGTGATTTTTTACGTACAGCGTAAATTTTACATTACTGGTCTTCTGCGGTTAAATGCTTTTCTCTTGGTAGTGTAATCGAACTGTAATAAATTGCTTTTCGAAAAAAAAATATTATAACTGCGAAAACTAAAACTCGAAATCGACTTCAAACCAATAGTAATGTCTAAATACGATGGTGCGCGCGGCTGATCTTTAAGTCGTTTATTAATCAGCGGTTATAATGGACTGTATCCTGAATAAATATTGTAATATTTGTAAAATACATTTCGGTAGTCGTACCAAGAGAAACTCATTTTTCTCCGGGTAAACGGTAATGTAAAATGGACGCTGCACTTTAACATGTTATTTTAGAAAAAATAGTTATTTTAATAGTGTAGGATATGTTTTTGTTCCAGCCTGGGTACGCCCACGGGCTGGGCTCCCTACAGTTCCCTAACGGAGGCTCTCCAGTCGTGTCGCGAAGCACTATCTACTACGGATCTCAACATCAGGTTAGTGACGACATGTTGTTTTTTTTTTCAACTTATTTGATTGTGGGTTTGTGGAACTTAAGTTCTAGAGCTAGCTTTTCAGTACCAGTTATGCCTGAGAGATGGTTTTGCTAAAATATTGACTTGAGTCCAGGGTTAGAAAAACAATGTATTGTTTTCCACCAACTACCAAACACGATTCCTAGCTTTGCGTTCAATTTTCGAAATGATCAACGTATTACATATTGTGGGTTTTTTGTTTAGAAATACAATAAAAACAAAATTGATTCAAAGGAGGTTGCAGTTCGGTGATCAAACCTTTTGAGTATACCTCCATTCAGCCTTATATGTCTTCAAAATCAATAATAGTCCCCTCTATAAATATCTACAGCAAGCTAGCAGCAGCAGCCCGGGCGGTGTATGCGGCGCACCGCTCCCCGAGCTCCCTCTCTCTTGTTACCGCCACCAGCTACACCTGCGGCGCTGCGATGTACTGCGCAGCGCTACGGCCACGCAAGGACTGCGACTGCATATGTTTACTGAAGGTAAAGAATATTTGTATGGGAGTAGACCCCTGATTAAAAATTGCCCTAGTAAATACCGATGTTTTAAACTTTCCGTTTACTAATGGTACAAATTCAAGCAAGTAAAAATAATAGTGGATGGATAGACTAGATTTTATATCAGATATGCATACCCTGTGACTGAAAGTTCTATGAATTTAATACCCTCTTACTGCTAACTATATTTTTGCAAAGTACCAGTACTTTAGAAGAAATAGCTGTAAGTTAGTCTCTTTAAAGTATAGTTAAATAAAAAAAAAATTTACATGTTTGTCATATTTATATCTGTGATTAATGTTCATTTTTTAAATGACAGACTTTTCTTAATTTTTTTTTTTGAAGCGAGACGACGCGTCTTGTTTATTTAATATCGAGGATAGATGACTTACATACAAACTGTTATGCATTATTTGCGTTTACTACCTCTATTATTTAAAACTGTGATTCCCAATTTAACTATTATGTACTGTTAGACGACGAAAATCAACTAAATGAACGTCACTAGTTTAATCTATGTTATTGACAGCACTAGTTGTCATATTGACGATGTCATCTGTCAAATGGGACGGTTTAGAAAAGTTTCCCGCGCACAGTGGAGTGACGCTCGATACTGGTGGGAAGTTGGAAGAGCACTGTGTTCTGTGTTTTTAAAAGAATCCGATTATAATAAACTTTTAGATATTTAAAGTATTGAGTTTTACTTAAAAGTACCTACCTGTAATATTTTTTTCAGGCCCTGGCCGATCCCTCTCAGAAGGCGGCGCGGGTCGTTCAGTTTGCCGTGTGGTTCGCTTCGGTAGCTCGGCGCAGCGTGTGTGCGCTGCACTAGGCGCTCCGGCTCGAACGTATTACAAAGCTGACGACAAGATGCGCATACATCGCCCCACCGCTCGTAGGCGTCCGCCGCCAGCTTCTGATTACTTCTTCAACTACTTCACTTTAGGATTGGTTAGTCTTTAAAGTTATTATTTTTCGATTAAACTACTATATGTTTGAGCCGTCAAAATACGATGAAGCTAGCGTGCTTGGCTCTTGGTCTACTTGGTCTTTTTAGTCTACTTGGTCTTTTCGGTCTTTGCAGTCTTTTACCGTCTACTTGTGATTTGATTGGCTTCTGATCTGCTTTACAATGACTAAGTTGATTATGTGACTTATTTATTTTGTTTTGAACGCTTTAAGCTCAAAATCGTGTACTCGCAGAACTCTCCTGAAAAAAGGCGTTTGATTCGTTATTGTACACCATAAATAGCATAAGTATGATAAGATTCAAGAACTATTTCCTAGAAGAGTCCTAGTCCATCTAATCTAAATCTTATACTCTTATCTATATATATAAAAGAAAGTCGTGTTAGTTACACTATTTATAACTCAAGAATGGCTAAATCGATTTGGATGAAAATCGGTGGGGAGGTAGCTTAAAACCAGGAGACGGACATAGGATACTTTTTACCCAATTCTTTTTTTTTACTTTTTACCGAAAATCAAGAACGGGAACGGGAAATATCGGGATTGCGCGTACGAAGTCGCGGGCAGAAGCTAGTACTATTATATAAAGCGGAAGAGTTTGTTTGTTTGTATGCGCTAATCTCTGTAACTACTACTAACTAGTCTGATTTGTATAATTCTTTTTGTGTTGGATAGCGCATTTATCGAGGATGGCTATAGGCTATAAAAAATCACGCTACGACCAGTAGGATCTGAGCAGAGCGTGTGAAACCGCGCGGAAGTAGCTAGTAGTTAAATAAAAGATCTCTAAATAACTTTTAAATATTCCAGGACATATTATTCGACGCACGTACTCACCAGGTGAAGAAGTTCGTGCTCCATACGAACTACCCGGGACACTACAACTTCAACATGTACCATCGGTGCGAGTTCGAACTTACTGTGCAGCCTGATAAGTGAGTTCTTTAGTGTTTATTGCATCTTTGTTGCTATTTAGGAGGTAAGATGACAGATAGATCTACATATTTATGTATAATTTGTGTGTTGGGTTTTTTTTTATATTTGATGGGGCGACGTTTGACTACTATCTCACCTGATGGTAAACGATGATGTGGTCTACGATGGAGCACGTCGTCCCATAAGCAACCTATTCACTCGGGCCTTGAAGACTCCCAGGAAACACAGACTCTTGTGGCGACGCATGCCACATGTCAACGGATGACGTCACAAGAATCCTACATCGCAAATGCAAAGTTTACAAGCGAATAAACATGGATAGAAAAACCCAACGAACAACTGTTGGGCAGAAAGCCCGCCAGGCACGATCACCTCGCCTGGTCGGAGGATCCTCCTTTTCCGATCTTAGGGAACTATACTCTCTGTTCCCTAAAGTGGTGACCCCGACGTGATTGGAAGCAACCTTCACTTCACGGAGCTGATCAGCACCGTCATCCGTATCGCCATCCCTCTCATTCATCACTTCTCCGCTGAGCGGTAATCAAGTCGCAGCCAACCAGCATCCTCGGCCTCATCAGGGACCACCATCGCCTGCAACGAAGTTGTGCAGCCTGGTTCTTCCCTACGGCCTCACCAGCGTCTAGGCACAGCACTTCTGCACACGGTTCTGAAGGACATCTCCTCCCGTCAATGCAGACGCCAGCCACTACGCACCTAACCTCGCAGCATCTCTTCCCCGACTCACCGTGGGACACTGCGAACTCATCTCTCCGACTCACTGGAGTATCGCCCTGCACCGCTCACCCGACTCACTGGGCACTCAGCGGCTCAGTTCCGACTCACTGGAACTAGGGACTTTCTACACTGGCTCTGGCACCGCTCATCTCAAGCATCGACAGCCGTCTCAGCGGGATCGACCTCCGGTCTTGGGAGGGAGTGATGTGGCGACGCATGCCACATGTCAACGGATGACGTCACAAGAATCCTACATCGCAAATGCAAAGTTTACAAGCGAATAAACATGGATAGAAAAACCCAACGAACAACTGTTGGGCAGAAAGCCCGCCAGGCACGATCACCTCGCCTGGTCGGAGGATCCTCCTTTTCTTCGATCTTAGGGAACTATACTCTCTGTTCCCTAAACTCTTTTAAAAATTTCTCTTCTTCTGGTTTAAAAATTAAAGATTGAAAAAGTATCTAGATTTGAATACTAGGTTCCCTAGAATGATTGATAATTGGGTAAGGTTTTAGTTTTGGTTCCCGTATCAAATACAGCTACCACAGGATGTTTTTTATTTTCGAAATAGTCTTTGACATTAAGGAGTTAAGATTTGAACGGTAGTTGTGGTAATAAGTTCACTTGTTTTTCCTCAAACCGCAAAAAATGGTTAGCGTGATTATCACTTATCCCTTATTAGCTGAGCAAACTTCATGCCTTTATAATAACTATCGTGAGACATACTGAATTAAGTAAAAATCGCGGGTTACTCACGTGATTATACTGAGAAAAGGTCTACTAGTTTCGAACCACAGAGGGGTTTCTTCTTCATGAGCAGCGTGCGCGGTCGCGGTCAGTAGACGGCGCGACCGCGCACCCCGCCAAATTTTTTTTTTCACCTCTTACACTTTCCCTGGATTTCTGGACATTAGTCAAATCGTTCCAGCTGTTCTTGAGTTTTAGCGAGACAGACGAATGGAAATTCATTTTTATTTATATAGAAATCATGGTTTAATGCTTTTGCTTATGAATATTTTTTATTTATTTACTTATAATCTATGACCTATTTGTACAGATGCGACACGAACTCGTTAGTAGAGAGTCGCGGCGCTGTGTGTATCACTGCGTACAGTAAGTGGGAGGTCGTGTCGCGGGCACTGCGCGTGGCGGAGCGGCCCGTCGTACTCAACCGGGCCTCCTCCACCAATACCACCAACCCATTCGGGTCCACCTTCTGTTATGGATACCAGGATATTATTTTTGAGGTAATTCAGACTTTTATGAAAATGAGCAGCATTTTTAGGGGCGTGCAGACGGATCACCTGATGGTAAGCAATCGGCGTCGCCCATGGACACCAGGAACACCAGAGGCGTTACAAGTGCGTTACCGGCCTTTTGGGGATTAGGAGTTTGAGGATCGTTGGGGATTCAGGAATTAGGGAGATTGGGGAAGGGGAGGGTAATTGGGCCCCCGGTAACCCCACTCGCACAACGCAAGCGTTGTTTCACTTCGGTTTTCTGTGAGGCCGTGGTATCACTCCGGTCGAGCCGGCCCATTCGTGCCGAAGCATGGCTCTCCCACACTTCATTCAATTTATTCAGTAAATTCAGACTTTTAAGAAAATGAGCAGCATTTTTATGAGCGAGCAGACAGATCACCTGATGGTAAGCAACGGGTATCGTACCGTTTTTATTCTCACCTGACAACATTCTTTAGCGGCCTAAAAAATTTTGTCCAATCACTTTAGATGTCAAAATTTGAACGTCCAATGGTGTAGGGTCACTGGCGCCATTTGGTAAGCCAAAATACATCAACTCCCTAAAGCTTAGCCAATTAGCGTCGCCAATAGACACCCGCAATGCCATAGGAGTCGCTAGTGCGTTGCTGGCCTTTTGCTTAGCGATTTAGTGATTGGAGATGGGAGGGGAGGATTGGGCCTCCAGAAATCTCACTTATTAAGGGGAAAACAACGCAAGTTGTTTCACGCATTTTTGGGATAAGCCGATGAATGAGCCGACGGATCATCTGATGGTAAGCAATCGGCGTCGCCCATGCACAACCGGAACAGAGGAGGGATTAGGAATTGGTGGATTGTTGGAGATTCAGGGTTTGGAGAAATTGGGGAAGGGGTAGTTAATTTATTCAACCTTTTGACTAACTAAAATAGAACAGTTTATGTAAAAGAGCTTTAAACATGTTTTAATATATTTGCAGGTGATGTCAAACAACTATATAGCATCGATCACGCTGTACCAGCCCGAGGGCTCGCGGCCGCGTTACGCTGTCAACTCCATCGCGTGACATTGCCAGGTAATTATCTAACATATTACCTTAGATTTAAAGTCTAGTTTTATGTTTCAAAAGTTAGCAAACTGTGTGGATTTTCGCGTCGCTAGAGGCGCTAGTAACATAGATGGTCTATTGACTATTAATTAAAAAATTATGTTAATTTTTGATAACTAATCTGATTGGATATATGAGTCCTTAGGTCTCACTAGCGCCACTTGCTAAGCATTAATCTAAAAAAATTCACGTTTGAATATCAAATATAAAAAATATATATCAAAAATACTGATAATGTTTTTCTCCCGCGCAGGGATCTCCAAGCAAAGGTAAAAAATACACGTCCTGAACGATTTCGGTTGTCAGTCACAACATTAACCTACACCCGCGTGGTTCCCCATACAAACTTGAAAATGTTCACCTTTCAACATTAATCAAAATATGACAAAACTTCAGCCGAAGTGACTACATATCTTTACCACGAAGCACCTAAGAGGAAGCAGTATTTTTAAAAATGTGATAAAAAAACTGTGAAAAAAAAACTCGAAAAAAGTGAGTGACAGATCTCAGACGGTGTGTTAAGTCTTATTTAATTCCTTAGACGGACTTCATAGTTAATGTTTTATGTTTAAGCTTAATTTAGTTCGTATTTCAATGAACATTGATTCTTAAATAATAGTCAAATGTGTTCTTGTAAGTTACTTCGCACGACACAAGAATATAATGCCGTAGACAATGTATTCTTGCGCCGTGATCTCGGGATAAAAATAATAATTAGACAAAAAAAAACATGAAAAAAACTAGAAATAGACTGTGCTGTAAATATTTTTGAGAATTTGATGAGAAAATAATAAAATAATGATGAAATTGATGTATTTTTTCTAAAAAGAAATGATTTTTCGATTGTGACGTTTGTTAGGACGTGTGTGCAAAAATTATGTGCAAGAGGATTTTGTCAGCACCCTATAGATAGGTTATGTTGAGTTTCGAGTGTAATATGAGTTGTAAACCAACATCCTATATAATTTATTTTACCCGACATTTTATTTCGTACATATCTTTAATTTAGTAAAAGAAAAAAATATTTATGTAATGAAATTTTTGTTATAAATTATTATTATTGTTTTTTGAGAATAGAAATTGCACGATTTGCGTGTTTTTTTAAATTATGTATGAGACAGTGGCTTTTGAGATGTGCTTGGGGAGAAATAAAATATTTTCTATAAGTATTGACTGTGTGTGTAAGCAAAAAGGAACACTTGAAAAAAAAATATAGTCACAAAATAGCCTTCGATAAAACGGCTTTTTAAATTTAAGGTGTGGTCTATTTAAGCATGTTTCTTCTGACGGCTCTCAAATACTGATTTTATGAAGTACAAAATTTTATTTTAATAAAAATGTTTTATCGGTGTATTTTGTCGTTTTTTTTTTTTGAAGAAAAAAATGCAAAAAGTTTGTTGTCGTCTAATTTTTTTGACTTGACAAAACATGTTTGAAATGTCTTGTCGAAATTTTGACGTGGAGATGAAATTCAAATTTTTATTAGGTATTGATTTTTTTTGAAAATTGTATTTTAGGTTAGGTTTTGTAAATTAGGATTATGGCTCCCGTTTTTAATGGTCGGCGTTGTACGGGCTTCAAGGTTCAGTAGACTGTTGAGACATCTGCTCAACTATTTATTGAATATTCGGTTTATTTTTATGATTGACTTCGAATAAAATTCTGTCTAAAAAGACGAGTAAGTACAAACTATTAGATACATTTCTTGAAAAAAGAGCAATATTTTAAAACTTTTGGAAATTGGTTCTAAATAGGCTGCTAGACGTTGAAGCCCATCAACTATTTAACTATACACATCAAACAGCCAATTACCACAAACCTTGGCTATCAGATGACGCACGCTATTCTACATAGACTATAAAACCTTTTGATATCAGACCTCTTTGGTAACAAAACGCTTTCGATTTCTAGTGCCAACAACGTTACGTTCTAAATTTAAACTCATGTCATTTCGGTAATAATGAGCTTATAAGTAGGCTACAAAATGGCGGGAGGCGGTTGTGATGTTTTAACTAAACTGCTGTTACGGCAATATGACACTTTAGCTTCGGTAAGGTTTAAATGTTGCTTAGATTTCCTTTTGAACCATTTTCAAGCAACAAAAGATGTACAATTAACCCCGCCATTTTTGTTTAATTCCTAGTTCTTAATGTTGTCAAGAGATGGCGCTAGTGGTAGTGAAAAAGGCGACAACAGAAAAGTTGTATCGTTTTGTTCTTAAATTAATAATAATATTAGCAATAATGTGCCTGAAAAATGGTTCAAAAGTAAAATTAGTGTGTTTGTTCATGCACAATTTGTCACTTGTGTGATTGTCAAGTAATGGCTGTGGTGCCATATAACAAGAAAAAAAAATTAAAAAATTGACATAATACAATAAAAAAAGTATTACATTTAAGGTGGCTATATGCTACGTTTTGGTTCTGTGTGTGCGTATATTTTGTCACGAATCTATACTTAGCCAACTTTTATTTTTAAATTCCAAATACTGAACTGAGGGAACCAATTAACATTTTTTAAAGAAATTATCAACTATATTTTTTTATTAAACTTGATACAATAACCTTTGAGCGTAAAGCCCCAGTAAAATAAAAGACCATCTGTCAAAATATACGCACAGATAAAAACACAATTATTTTTATATCGATTAGCTTATTTCGTCACTCGATGAAGTGTATCGATTCATCGTCACTTTATAATGATTATATAACTATGTCAGCCTTGTTGGTTACGCAGTAATTGCAAATACATAATATAAATAAATAAAATATTAATTGAAAAATATTATCTCTTTTTTTTCGATGTCATTCTTTCATCGAGACTGTGTCACAGACTTTTAAAGAACCTTGAATTGAATTATAATAAAAATAGTTTATTGTTAGTTTAAAATGGAATACAGATTGGTTTAATTTTTTGACGAAAATAGTATTAACCTCTTGCATGTCGTAACGCAGATCTTATTCAGACACAATGTGATTTCTATTGTCTCATATATATACAGAAAAGAGGTTATAACAAACATGCAGTAATTCCCAGCAGTCAAGAAAAGATACTGTAATAGCAACAGGTAAAATCTCCCAAAAGTACGTATATTAACTGATCTAATACAATTATAGCGCACTGCAGTATAGAAATCGTACTCAACATCCTTTTTAGATGAAAATTTTTTTTTAAACGAATCATTATCAATTACATATAATATTTTATATTACCCGAAGACTTCTTATTCTTTATCACGAATAAAAAAATTCTTTTCGGCTTACTCACGTGACTGTTTGACGAGGAACTCGACTAGTTTCAAGCCATGCTAGAGGCTCATATTCATGAGCTGCATTCCGCGACCCGCGACGCCGCGAGAGTAGCAGCGCGACAGGGAGTAAGCCGAAAACATAATAATTAATTAGTATGTCTTACGAAAGTTTTATTACAAGGAATCTAAAACCAAATGAAAATAGATTAGTAATGTTCATGCCATAAAACTCAGTCAGATTGTTACTTGATCTCTTGAAAAGGACAGTACTTACTAAAACCAAAACAGAATTACTTATAGTCCAGTAATTTGGCACAATAAGGGTAGATTTTTCAATCATCACTTAAATCTTAATTGTAGAATAAAATTGACATTTCACAGAAGACGGCCACCGTAGTGAATTTTATTAGTATGGAAGAATTGTCAAATATTAAAAGTTATTCCTCTGATTAAATTTAACTGAGCATTGAATAATTGGCCCTAAGATGTGGTGTACTTCAACTTATTGCAAGCTAGATAAATTTTGGATTCTCAACTGTATGTCAAAACAGCAAAGTTGATAATCTAATAAAAGATTAACTTGATATACTGCTAAAATGAGACAACACATCACATTTCTCACCCGGTTTTCCCCTTACACACACAAAAAAAAAAACCTTGAAAAAATAGTAAATGCTCAACTTAGATAAAAATCGATACAGTACAACGGAACTGATGATTACGTGTAGCCATATCAGTAAAATTTAACATTATTTGTTTTGTAAATAGGGTTGGACTAATACACTGATATCAGTGGTTCGTACGTGATAATCAATGCTGAGGTGTGGTGAGTCATAAAGGTGTTGTTCAGTAATGTGTTGTCTTGTATGACGCATCGAATACTTAAATGAGATTTTCATAGCCATTTTGGTATTTTTTTGGCAAATCTGGTATCTATGTTTAGTTAATTTGTTATATGGTAGAAAATACAGAGCGTCAGCCTACTGCGATTCTAAAGTATGTAGTTTCCATAGCATTATCTGATTATATAAGCATAGCTTCAATGCTTAGTTATCTTGTACATTTACAAAAAAAAATTAAAATTTTATTTTACGGCTAACTAAATTAAATAATTTTTCACCTAAATTTTTTAAGAATATTTGGTCCTCCATAAGAAATAACAGGACAGTCTTCTTTACTATTTTTTGTGTTTTTCTTTGGTTCAGAAGTTAAAAACGAAAAATGACTGAATACTAATGGTTCCGAAAATATCGAAAATCCTCGTAATTTTCCCTTAATATAATAAAAGGAGGAAGCCCAAAAAATCCAGAGTTTGCTCTATACATTTTCGGGCATTGTTCATAAATAGGGTAATTTGGCAACAACTTCGTCTGATTTTTTTAAATATAGTCAGCAGTCGTAATTGTCGATGAAACGCTTGGGAAAAAATTGTTAACTCAATATTTAAAACATTTTAAGTATTTTTAAGTTTGTTGTGTGTAGTCCAGCCAGAGCATGGACGTACTTAAAAGAATTCTGTCTATCCTCTGGACTCCAGAGCGTTTAGTGAAACTCGTACTAAGCCTTCTGATCAAGTCGGAAAATTGGATGGAGGAGTAGATTATATCAGACAATCTCAGTACTTCTTGAATGGGAAGCTTTCCATTTTTGATTTATGAGAAAAAGAAATTACTGTTCGTTTGTCGACCGGTAGCCAAATCGACCGATA